TCATTTTTTACAAATCCAAACAAATGTACATGGTAGGAAGAAAATTACAGCTGTGCCTTAATAGAATTAATAAATGGGTAACTGAAAATGGTTTTAGGTTTTCTAAAATAAAAACAATGTATGCACATCTGCCAGAAGAGAAAACTACACAATGATCCTACTTAAAGACTAGAAGAGAATGAAATATCAGTTGTACATGAGCATAAGTTCTTGGGAATAATATTTGACAAAAAACTTACCTTTATCTCCTATGTAAAATATCTCAAAAAGAAATGTAGCAAAGCAATACAGCTCCTCCATCTGGTCGGTCACACTCAATGGGGAGCAGACCAAAAAACTTTACAAACACTTTACAGGACCCTAAATCGATCAAAACTAGATTATGGTAGCATCATATATAGTTTGTCAAGAAAATCCTATTTAAAACTCCTTGATTCTACCATCCAGGCTGGATTAAGATTGGTGCTTGGGTTTTTAAAACTTCAGTTGAAAGTTTATATGCAGAAGCCGACAAAACTCCCAATCTTAGATGTGAAAAACTGGCATTACAGTATTATACAAAAATAAAATCCTGTTCATCAAACCCTTTCTACAAAAATACATTCCTCCCACAACACAGAAACTTAGCAAAAAGAAAAAAAAAAAACTAAAAACATTTGGGCTTCAAATGGAACCCCTTGTCAAGAAATCAAAAATACAACTGGCAACAATCCATGATAATATAATTCTTAACATTACTCCTTGGACAATCTCCAAAAAATAATATGCATTCTCTTAACTTTCAAAAAGAATTTGATAAAAATTAAAGAAAGCTATCTCAGGCACACACCTGTCTTTACAGATTAGTTCAAACACAGGAATATAGCAGGATGTACAGCAATATCCCAGAAAATAAGCAGTAAATACCTCCCAAATGAAACCTCCATCTTCAATGCTGAAGCCTGTGCCATAGATCTAGCGCTCAAAATTTCAACAAATAAAAACAAAATTTATAATCTTTTCTGATTCACTATCAGTTTTAACAACACTAAAAACAAAAAAAACTTGACAACCCATTAATAGTCAAGTTGCTAAATAAACTCTATTTAATATCTGTGTTGATAGATGTGATGTGTTGGATCCCAAGTCATGGTAGAATAATTGGAAATGACAAAGCTAATGCAGCTGCTAAACATTGAAAATATAGAAATTGACCTGAATATTAAGATCCCTTACACAAACCTGAAGAGCCAAATAAACAGGTTTATTAAACAAAAATATCAACAACGTTAAAGTAACTGTACACCAAATAAATTGCTGCAAATCAAGCCAATACTTGGAGAATGGAAAGCAGGATACAGAAAATCCCCAAAAGAAGTGGTACTATTAGCCCACTTGTGCATTGGCCACACAAGAATTACACTCTTGTTACTGAAAGGGGAAGAACAACCAATATGCCTAACATGCCAAACTGCATACACCATAAAATATGTTTTGACTGATAGTACAGCTCTTGCTCCATCTAGGAAAACATACTTCAATATAAACAACATAAAGGAGCTCTTTGAAAGAACAAGTTATCCCAACCAACCAAAGTAGTTGATACCATATGATTGTGGGGAAAAAAAAAAAAAAATTATGAAATATAAGAATGTCTTGGCTTTAAATGACCCATGAGGGGTTCATAAGCTGTAAAATAGCCAACCAACCGACATCACAGCATGCCCGCATTCTGTCACCAATTCTCTCCACATCCACGTGCTTCCTGGTCCATGACTGGCGTTGATCTGCACTAATGAGCAACCAGTGTCAATGAGAGCTGAACACCATTTCCCATTAACTAACACATTGACTAGAGGCAGTGCCACATTTACATCTGGACTGGGAATTATATTAGTGCTGATGTCCATTTCCTTGATCAGTTTCCCTGGGCATTTCTGTGATATATGGCCTAGTTTGTCACAGAAATAGCAATGTGCAGCTTTGTCACGTCACCAGAAAAATGATTAGCACCACCATATGTGACAGACGATGTCACTCTGTGGATCATTGGTGAAGTAGAGTCTGTACCCAATTGCTCAGGCTTTGCTGCTGCCACAATCAATTCTGCCACTAGCTTATTATCTTTCAGTGTGGTTCTAGCTCGTTCTAACAGCTGGTTGACATCTAGTGTGTATCCATTAGAGAGGAAGTGCAAAGCAACCTCTTGACATGCTTAGGCAACTCTGCTACAAATGCACATGTAAATCCACAGTCAGACACCCCAACATACAAGGTTAACAGCCCGTGGAGGTCCACAGATTCGTTTGAATTCAAGCACCTAGCTGCAAAGTGATTGTATGCCATAAATTGATCTGTGGCAAAGGCAACATACAGAGTGTCCCTGATAGAGCCTACATCTTTTTCTTTCTAGTTGAGTTGTTGGAACACAGCAAACACACCTCCTGTCAATTGGAGTGGCAGAATGCTAGCAATGTTCTTCGCACCACACAAGTCACAGACCAGTTCGATCTTTTCGAACCATTCAATGATAGAATGTCCTCAGTCTGAACCATCAAATTCGGGGGATTTCATGCTGACTCCTTCACAAATGAATGAAATTATTTTAGAAATGTTTTTGTTTTTGGGGGGCGGGGTGTGGGGGTGTTGTTAACCGCACTACTAAATTAATTTTATGAAATTTTGAAAAGATGCATGGCTTAATGTTAATTATACACAGAAGTCCTTGGAGAATTTAATTTTTTTGTAAAACAGGACCCCCTGTCACTGAAAATCTGCTCTGAATAGTAAAATAAAAAATGCAGAAAAACTAAGACATTATTTCATTAGAAAGCTTTTAATTGCTTTTATTAATCTATATATAAAATTCTGTGACTTCTGTTAGTCTGTCCATCACACCCTCTAAAATAGACATACATTGGCCTATCGAAACCAAATTTTTTGGTGCGAAAGTTCAAACAGGTAAGTGGGTACAAAGCACAGTTGGTTTTACTGGGGTGTTTAGCTTAGTACAATAAATTGTCATTAATTTTTTTTTTTTGAAAAAAATTTAATGATTAAAATAACAAATACCTATTTAATAAAAATACAACATTGTTTTTTTTTGCATATCTTTTAAGTTTTTATGTATATTTAATTCTGTTAAAGTATAATGCACAGTAGTAACACTGTAAATATAAACACAGTAGGGAGAGTAGAGTTTGTGAATTTCAACAAAAAATGAGCATTGGCTCTGTCCCAGAGAATCAGTAGATGTCTATCTGGCAGAGTTAAGGGAAATTTCTATCCTATTCAGCGGAATGAGTGACCGTGTCCTGGCATGTGCGTTCATGCAATTGCTCGGGAAACGAGCCAGTGGAATAGGCCTCAGCACCAGTCTACTCCTCGAGCCCCCATATGAAGGAGGCACTACCTGCAATTGCTGTATGCATCAACAGAATTTAGAGTTTAGCCTTGCTAGATACAGGCTGTTCATGATCGCTTGGAAGCAGATTGCTTTGTTACTCTTAAAAGAGGAAAGAATTGAACGTATTCACTGTTGGTGAAAGGACCCTCAGGTGCACTGGCGTAGGACTTATTCCACTTGATGTGAGCAACAGGCCCCCTATCATTGTTGAGGTTTTGGTTGTAGACAGAGAATTGTTTGGTTTCGACCTGCTGCTCAAATTTTACATCATCAAGAAGTTGGGAGGAGTATGTATCTGGTGACTGTTACCACATCAGGACGCTGCCAGCATCATCCAACAGCTGGAGTCGCTATTCTGTGAGAGAAGGTCACCTGCTGAGCTGCTCATCAACAATGGTGCCACATTCTGTGGCGAGGTGTTTGTGAGGTTTGCAGAGAACTGGGGCATCTGACTTATATTCCGGTGTGCCTATCAACCCTCTTATCACTGCTCAGTCAGGATATTCCATTATGGAGGTGTTGTATTGGTATAACGTGATGCCAAAAGATAATGCAACAGCTTTGTCAGCACCAGCTTACGCTATATATAACTACCAAGCCCGCATAAAGGGTATCGCTGTTGCACCACTACTTGAACACATAGATCCTGAGTGGGAGATGCGGTATGGGTAAAGACCCCCATCGTTGATGTTCGACACAATTCAAAAAAGGAACAGTGACAGGGGTCTACAGCCCACATTCAGTTCTCATCAATGGAATGCCATGCCATATCAGAGACCTCTGCCCACATCAGAGATCTGTATTGTCAGAAGATGATGGCAGTGATAATTCATCTGAAAGTGACTCAAATTTGCCGCTGTTTTCAGTGCAGGGCCAGATTATTCATCTACAGAACCAGTGGAAACAGATACTGAAGATGACAATGATGTGGGCACAAATGCAGAAGAGACGGGCTGATCCCATTCAACTTTACATAGAAGCACTTGATGACGCGACCGCCATCCCCATGTCATTTATGTGATCAGGAGATCAGGGAGGAGTGTGGAAGAAAAGATGACTTACCTCATGTGGCAAATCAAGAATGTATATGCTTGGTGTGCAAAATGAGTGAAGGAAAGGAAAAAGAAATATGGCTGCCCTGGCACCTTAATTTAAGAAAGACACAGTTTCAGAGATCAACTTGGCATAAAAAACACCATGCAAGACAGAATAGTCAGTAGGTTCATAAACATGGTACTTCTTTCAATTGGGAAAGCGATTACTCGGATTGGTTTCAAATCGGAGTAATTAAACTTAAATCAGCAAATCTTCCTCAAAGTTTAAAAAATGTATATTTTTATTTTAGAAAGATTTTTTAATAAAGAGAATTGTAAATAGGCTAAAATCAGTTATTTTTAGCAATTTCAAAAAGCAAACTCATTCCAATCAATTTAAATTTGGTTTGAAATACAGCAAAGTATTTTGATTATTGGAAATATTAAATTAAATCTATTAGCTTGGAATTAAAACTAAAATAAAAGCTTCAAGATTTTTGATTTTTAAAAATTAAACCTCTGATATCACATTTCTTTGGAGATAATTTTAATTTTATTTGAATGATTTCTTTTTTTATCAGAACTTCTGATGGCATTACACCTTTGCACATTGCAGCCACTTGGGGAAACAAAAATATTGTGAAGTTATTGCTGTACAATGGGGCAAATATTTATATTCGTGATGATGTAAGTTGAATTTTATGCAATAAATATAATGAAATGTTGATAAATGAATATTTTTTATTCAGTTTTATAAATGATGTATATTTGAATAATTTTCTCATTGCTTATTTACAACACACAGATACATAATTAGTCACATATTTGCATAAAATTTGGAACAGTTTCTTTACCTCTCTTTTAAGAAACTTGTCTTAAAATTTGTCATTTTTATATAATCTTATTTAATAAACGGTAAATTGTCTAAACAAATAGAACTCAATATTAAAATTGTTCATGCATAAAATCTACTTATTGCATACATAAATCTAACTTGAAGTTTATGGATTTTTTTTTGTTTTGTTTTTGAGAATTGTTCACCAAATCATGAAACAAATGTTAATGGTTTCTGTTACATTTTTGAAGTTCAGCTTATAAATTCTGTTATTTCAATAATTTTCAAAAAATTGAAATTTGAAAAATAATTATTGCAGTACATATTGTGGTTATTGATAATTATTTTCATTCACTGTCTGCTGCTCATTCTATTAGAATATATCCAATATATTCTGTAGTATCGAACATATTGGATACTTTAGAATATTACCTTTTAGCATTTCAGTTCAATATTATTTCAAATGTCTATCATACAAATCAAATAAATTTCTCTGAATGCACAAAAACTCAACCATATCAAGGATACAATCTTAGAATTGCATTCAGTCAGATGACAAATTTATGACCTTTAGAAAGTTAGATCTTTTTAAGTATAAAATATGAAAAATCCTTTTTTTCATTTACAGGAATTTAATCTCGAACAATGATTATTAAAATTTGTGTCTTTCAGCTAAATTTATTTTGTAAAAATTTTGTAAAAAAAAAAAAAAAGCTATATTTGTTTGTATAAATTGTTATGTTCAAAACTTTCTTCACTTTGAAAGGTTATATTAAAGTATTCTGTGCAAAGACAGTCTAAACCTAAATTTATTAAAGAAATTTTGTTTGATTATTAAATTCTGTATTAATATTTATTTTTTTTTTTTTTTTTCCTTTTAAAAGGAAGGCTTCACCTCTTTGGATATGGCTAAGAAATATGAACATGAAAAGTGTGAAATAATATTAAAACGACATGCTCACCTACTGGAGTCTCAGCATAATCTCCAGAAAAGAAAAGTAAGACACAATCTACCTTTAAGTAAGTGAATTATTCCTAATAAGGCCTGTTTCTAATCTTTTGTGTATTTTACATTATGATTTAAGGATTTCACAAATTCATCTTATAATTATAACTTTCAAATATAAAGACATATATTTATGAGATTCTAAATTTGCTTCAGATTAATGAAATAAGGCTATTTAGTTTTAGGATTACCCTCAGCTATAATTAGTAATAACCAAACAAATAAATCACCAGTGTAGATTTTTTTTTCTCCTGCTTATCTTTCCTTCTCTGCTTCTCAATTTTCCCCTCTTTTTTTTTCCTGAAAAATTTATACTCTATGCATTTCATAGAATCAATATATTATTAAATTTGCACTTTAATGGGGATTTTCCCATAGCCAAAAAGAAATTTTAGTTAACACATCATGCACACACACACTTTTATTCAGTGTGAAATTAAAACATAAAAAAATTGTTTATTTACAATAATATTTTATGTGAAAAGGAAGATTGGTGAAAATGATTGTTTTTTGTTTTTTAAGATAAACTTTTATAACATCTAGAATATTTTCACATTTATAATTCTAAATCAAAGGCAAAAATGGAGAAATAATTTACAATTTGTCTAATCTGTCAATATAATTGTTAAAAAATAAACTTAAATAGGCATTTTTTTCGTATAAAGTATTAAAATATCTTGGCATGATGAATTGTATGTTGATAATGTTTTTCAGGTGCAAAAATTAAATGTCGCTCTCAAAGAACAACCTGCATTAATAGAAACTTTGATGTCAGTCAGGATTTGCTTGTCGACAGTGATCCAGAGCATCATTTATCTCCTGTAAAACAAGAGAAGCCAAGGCGTTCAGTTCTCTACAGAAAAGAAATTCAAAATCAAATCAATCATCTTTGTGAAAATGAAGAGGATTTCCATTTAGATGTGACCTCTCCTAATCATCCATGTGTAAATGTAGCTCCCAAAATGCGGTTTCATCTTCCTTCATCAAAACACATCCGTGCTTACACAGAACCTATGGTTGAGTCTACCAGTACGCCTATATGCCCACGTCGATCACTGTATACAGCTAACACACAACAGAGGATTGACAAATATACTGACAGTGAGAAAAATGTCAGCATTGATGTGACATCTCCTGATCATCCTGAATTATTTTTCACACCAACAGCAACAAGCCCACACAAATTCAATCAAAAAATACAATGTGAAACTCCAATAAAATCTTTACCAAATCTGATGCCTTTTAAATCAGAAGATAGCAGTGAGATAGACAGCAGTTCTTCAGAATCAGATCTTTATGTTACAGTTAATGAAGCATCTGCTGATCACATAAAATCTCCTCAAAATGCTTTAGATCTTGATAAACTGAAACATTCCATGACACACAAAATTGCGCAATTACGAAATTGCTTAAATAAACTTGATACTCAGAATTTTAAGCCTTTTACACCCAGCCAACCTCTTCTTTTCAAAAATTTTAATCAAGTACAAAACCAGTTATACAATAGAAGCAAAGAGGCTTACTCAAGAAATTTGCCATCTAAAAAGAAATTATATTCAAAGCAGAAGCAACAAAAAGTGCTTGGTTCAAATCCTGATGTTGGTGTTAAATTTAGCATGGAATTACCACCAGAAATGATATTGGATAATGGGAAATGTAGAAAATTCAAACATTCACAACATGAAACAGTTGAAATGAATGTGGGAAAAGATGATGGTGAGGAAACTGAAACTAGAAAATCCAAGAGACAGCCTGTAATTGATATACAGATAGAACCAGAGTGTGAATCTCATAATATAAAGTACAAAGTCAGAAATAAAAAAGAAACAGATCTGAAAATATATCAAAAATCAAAATTCCAACATAAAACCAAAGGAAGTCATAAACAAAAAATTGTATTGGAGTCTCCAGAAATTCAACAAAGCTCAAAAGTAAAAAGTAAAAAAGAGTATTACAGATCAGATGAAAAAAATAAAAATGAAAGACAAAAGATATATTCTTATCCTGGTGAAAGAATCTTCCCAGATCAACTACAACATGAGAATCAAAGAGGAAGTGAAATATATGCTTGTAATGAAAGTATTCATCCAACTGTGTTTGCCAAATGTGGTTCAAGAAATCCAAATGAAATAGCAAATGAATACTCCAAGAATGCTTATGTGACCAAACCTATTGAGAATAGACCTGTCAATTCATCTCAGTACATCACTTCTAAAAACAGCTCTAAATTGTCAGGACAAAACGGGCAATTGTATCCTCATTCCACTATAAGTGAAAAGGTTACTGCCCAGTCACATGTTAAACTTAATGAAAAAGCAAGTCATTTCTTAGAAAGAGAAATCATTCCAGAGAAATCTAGTCCTATTAGAAGAAAAGAAGTACAAAATTTTACTTCTATGGTTAAAACAAATGGTCAAAAAACTTCTCAGTTAAATAAACTGAAAGATTTGTCAAGGCCGCAACCAAAAAAGGTTTTCATGAAAGAAAGATCTGAATCTATGTATTTAAACTGCAATTCTGTTTACGGAAACCAAATTTTTCATCAAAGCGGGTGTTTGAACCAAAAACCAAAAAATGGTGCAGATGAGACAGTTACATTTCAAAAGGGAGCATCCCACTATGAGAAAGCTACCAAACTTCCAGAAAGTGTAAAGCAAGATTCTGTACTACGTTCTCAATCACCGCCTTCAAATATTGATCCTTACAAAATATATTTTAGCAATAAAAGCCGCACCAGCATGAGTTCTGTAACTTCAACTGACACTTATTACACTTGTCAGAGTGAATTGGATACAGAGGATTTCTATTCCTGTGAAAATGGATTAGAACCACATGGAGAAAATCCTGGAAATTCATACATGACTGCAGGAAAAAGGCCATTTTACTCTTCTGTAGAAGCCTTAAGCAGTAAGGAATCAAGCTACCTTGAAGAATTTGAATTTAATAAGGATGACTTAATTCAAGCATTGTCAGAGTTCAATTTAAGAGATCCAAATACATCAGCATTAAATGACACTTGTTTTAATACCCTATCAAGTTTAGCAGATGATATAATAGATACAGAAAACCATAATGACAGTGATTTTACTAATGTTGAAGCATCTCATAATAAATCTTTAATTACTACTAATGGGTTAAGATATTCTCAATTTGGGAAACATAAACTGGTTGTAGAAAAAAATTTAGGTAGATCAGAGTCTCCATTACAATATATACCAGCTCAAATTAATAATTCTCATACAACCACAGTTGAAGCAGAAGTTAGACCTACAGATGAACAATATGAAAAATTTGAAACTGCAATTGAACAAGTTTTGCTTTCAAGATCTCTATCAAATTGCAAATCGCCAATTTTAAATCAAGTATCAGAAAGTAATTCCTTTCCTCAAGGCTCTTCAAGCCAAGACAATTCTGAAGATGTTTTTTATACAAGCACCAAATCAGAATTTAGTAATTCTGATAACTTTTTCTCATGTATACCACCAACTGATGATCAGTTTGTTTCTACTGTCTCTCAACAGTCTGTTAGCATTAGTAGCAGTGTTGACAACCAAAATGATGGCATATTACATCCCAGGAAAAACGAGTTGGGTTCCTTAACTCCAATAGAACCTGATTTATACCATAGTTGTGTTGAAAAAGAAAATATGACAGGAAAGATTTCAAATGATATTAAAGATACCAGGAATCCTTACTCTATTCACTTTTCCAAAGTTCTATCAGAACTTAAAAAAAAAGCTGATTTAAAAGCCATTCAATCACAAAGAAAGACATGTTATCGCTGGCAGCCTCCTGAAAATTTAATGAGTTCCTCACAAACCACTGATGAGAGTTTTCTGAATGACAATGGAAGAGATGAAATGTTGAAACTACTAAAAAAAAATGTTGGTTTAGAATTAAAAAATCATCCACTTGTTAAAAGCCAGAAATTTGCAATAGATAAATCAACTGATTCTCATTACATTTCAGCACAGGAAGGTGATTTGTATACTTCACCAGTTTTACTTGACAACAATGAACATGAAGCAGAACACTTGTATTATAATTCTGCAAAAGATAAATTTAATGAATCTCCATTAAGAAATGTATCTACTAGGAAACATATGGACAGTACTAAACTATCTCGATCCAAAAAAACGAGCATTTTGAGACAAAATGCTATGACAGTTTCAAATCAAATATCAAAGAAGTTTTCAAAATGTGACCAAGATCAAACATATATCTCCATGCAAAATGAGTCACAAGCATGTAAGGAACCTGTACAAAAGAAAACTGAGAAAAATCACTCATTTCCTAGTATTATGGTAAGTGGTAATCATGATTCTGACCAGTCTTACTGCCCCTTGCTATGCAAAGATGAATCAACTGATCATTCATGCTATGTTTTGCTTAAAAAGGAGTTGGAAAATTCCAGGCAATCTGTCAGCAGTGATGGCTCTCTGAATTGCAATCAGTCATGCTATGTTTCGGCATGTGGAAAGGACATCCAAGATGTAAACCGGTCTTGCTACATCGCCACTCAAGAAGAGGTCTCCCAGGCTGTGGACCGCTCATGCTACGTCTCTGTCCATGGAGAAGGCTCCATGGGAACAGGTCACTCATGCTACATCTCCACCCATGGTGAGGGCCCCCTAGGCAAAGACCACTCATTATGCGTCTCTGCCTGTGAGGAGGGCTCCCCAGCCACAGACCACTCACGCTTTCTGGGTGAAGATCACTCCTGCTACATCTCCACTTGTGGGGAAGGTTCCCTGGTTGCGGACCGCTCGTGCTATGTCTCCACCTGTGGGATGGGCTCTGTGGACCGATCGTGCTATGTCTCTGCCCACGAGGAGAGCTCTCCAGCTATAGACTGCTCATGTTATGTCTCTGCTTGTGAAGAGAGATCCCCAGACCCAGAGAGGTTGTGTCATGCCGCAATCTGCAGAGAAGGGTCTGTAGACAGTTCTATTAAAGAACTGTGTTCACAGTGTTCAAGAATTCCAACTTTAATAGATCGACACCTTTGGAAAAATCAAAAAGTTATTCATTCTCATTCACACCATGAACCTGTGACTTTACAAAAACGCTACATTTCTCCTCCTCAAAATAACCAATCACTTTATTTGTCTGCTCAAAATATAACTGGACAGTCAGTTTACAAAGATTCTTTTACTGAAGATGAACAAAACAAAACAAATTTTGAATCTGCAGTTGATAATATCACATCTTCATCTTGTTGGCAGTACGTATCTACAAAAAGTTCAGTTCCCAACCGCTCTGTTACTTGGCAGAATCCTATTTCTACATTTGATGAAGTTGATGCTGCTCTTGTAGATAGCACTGATGAAAGCATATCATGGAGCCCCAGGAAAGATAGCCATTCACCTCAAGCAATTCCTTTGACCTCCACTTCAGCTTCTGAAGAAATGACATCAGAATCAATATCATCGGATGAATTTAAACGCTGCTTAGAAAGCAAAAAATTGTTTTCACCTGAAAAAAGAACAAGTATGTGGGTAAATGGCATCTACAAATCAAATATACAGGAATATTTTGATGCTGACATGAGCAGCATACTCCCAGCTTTGAATGGACACAGTAGTTCTGACACTGACAAATATATCAAATGTGGTGCGACAGCTGCTAATATGAAAAGCCACTATATTCAGCCATCAGCTCCACCACAATCAGAAATCATTAGTGATGAAAATTACTCTGACAGTTCCAGATGTATTCCTACAGCTCCTCCAGCTATCTCAAATATTGCTGTGGCTGGTATTTTTAGAGATAAAGATGATGGATTATCAAATTCTGATTATATTTCTCTGCATCCATCACTCTATCCATCTCTGGTTGAACCATGTCAAAATTCTCCTTTAAAAGTTTCTGAATCACAATTAAAAGGTAATGATGGTGATAACAATTGTGAAGCTCATGCTCTTAATGCTTCTTCTGCTGCATATGTATCTTTTGGTAGTGAACCAGAACTGCTACCAGCTCCTGTCCATTGCTCTCCTGAAAACACACACACACTTACTCAGAATAAATTTGGTTTTACTCAAAAGACAACAAAAATGTGTTCTGTCAGCATTATTCCATCTGCTAGCTCCCAGCAAGAAAATACTAATAAATTATTGCCTCAAGATTCAAATCTTCCATTCTTGATGAGAAGCAACACTGTCAACAAATTTCACCGAATCACTAAGTCCATTTCTACTCAAACTCCAGTACTAAGAATCCCACCAGACCCACCAAACAAACTTGCATATCCTCCATTTGGAATGACGATTCCAAGCAAAGAACTAAACAAAGCAAAGCGGACACAAAATGGTTGGGCAAAACTTAAAAACTTTTTCACAGGTAAAAAAATTCAAGGCAAAATTGGTGATAAAGGTTTTATTAGTGTTGACAGTAATCAGAGTTTTCTCCAGTCTTGTCATCTGGCAAAGTCAGAAGAGATATCACCACCTTTAACAGATACATCTGCAACACAAACAGATCCAGATGTCTTTTATGAACCTACATCTAAACATTTAGAGATTATAAAATCTGATGAAGTTTCTCTCTCTGTCAATTTGTCAGAACAACTCTCTGATTATTCTGAGAAATATCCATCTTCAATCCTTCCTGGATTGGGTGAGAATTCTAAACAAGCAACTCAATCTGATTTCTTAGAAACTTGTAGTTCTTCAGGAGCCACTTCTGGATCTATGGAAAGGTTATTATCACCATATTGTGAGGATTCCGATGAGGATGACCTTGATGAAGTAGACTATGTAAAATTGAACACTCATCCAGTCGAGAATTTGAATGAAGAGATTGGCATAAATAAAGATCAACCGATTTGTACAAAAACAAAAATTTATGGAGAGACATACAAAACTCAGCTCTCCAAAACTGACAGAAAAAGAAAAAGCAGTGATATTGAATTTTTGCATATAGATCCAGAAATGCAAATTCAGTTTATTGAGCGCCAAATGTCAATGGAAAGTCAATGTGGTGAGCAGTCAGATGACTCTGAAAATACTGAAATTTATGATTGGAAATCCTTCAGTAAATCTGTCAATGATGATCTTGTGGATGTGTCACCAGCAGAAACAAAGTCCTTTTACTGGAGAACATGTGGAGAGAAGCCTGAAAATGTGAAGGCTAATCTTAAAAAGTTAAAGCCATTTACTAATCCTGGTAGCTTAAGTAATGCAGAATTAAGACAGGTATTGATAGATCATGGGATGCCTAATCCCGGCCCCATAACTCAAGGCACTCGGCAGATGTATCTGAAGCGTTTGAAGAATGCATCTAGTGGCTACACTCTGGGATGCACTCTATCATCTCCAGGTAAATTTATATTCTTTCACATTGTCAATTTTTTCAAATCATTAAAAGTACTTGCTATAATTTCACTGGTTAACTGCCATTTTAAAATTTGATTTATTGATTAAGACTAACTTGACTGCAGTTAGTTTCCTAAAGCAATGTTAATTGAAGAATCACTATTTAATTTTGTCACTTTCTGTATTTACAATATCAGTTCTTATTAATGTCTGTCAACAGAAATGATAAATATAAAGACACTTTATTCATCAAAATATTAATTTTAAAATCAAACTGATTAAAATATAGTTTATCCTCTTAAAGTGTGGATATTGAAAACTGTAAAAATATTATTTGTACTTTTCAGCAAAAAGTAGATTTGCAAGATTTTATCTTTGACCATGTTATTAATGTTTTATAAGTTTTAGGCAGTGTTCCATGCAAAATAAATTACAAATTTTATGATTGTTAGATTTCTTTTTTCATAACCAAATATTTCTAACTTAAATACTCTTTTCACACAAGATAAGCTTTTTGTATTGGAATACAACCAGTATTAACCATTTCACAACAAAGTTTATGTAACAGTTTGTAGAAAACTGTTACATAAACTTTGAAGTGGAGAGTATAAATTAAAAGATTTAAAAAAAAACAAAATATTCCTTACCAAAGCATGTATATGTTGTATATACTCTTTCTGGCACTGAAATGATTAAAACTATTCTAATTCAATAATTATTGAATTATGACCAATTTTAAATAATGAACAAATTACAAAAAAATGAAAAGAATTGATAAAGTTTTAATCAACTTTTCCCTGACATTCTAGATTACAATGCAGAACTTTGCCGAGCACTAAATGAAAAAATTGATTGGACAGAAATGATTGAATTAGAAGAGAAAATGATAAAAAAATTTGATAATCCTAAAAATACTCGTAAATGGAGAGAAGGTAATGAAAAATCATCATTTAATTATTTGCTTTTGGATCCACGGGTAACTAAAAATCTTCCAAGCCGTGCATCAAAAATGGGTAAGTAATTTGATTGTAAATTTTTCATTGCTGATATTTTGCTATTTATATTTTTTTTATATTTTGCTTTAAAAATCATTTTTAAATATTACTCCATTTTTTAATTGTAATTTTTATTATTTTTTATCAGGTGACAATTTAGAGGTATTTCATGCATTTGTGAAGGCCATATTTTATATTGGCAAAGGCAAGAGAAGCAGACCATATGCACACCTTTATGAAGCCATTAAGTATTCTGAGAGAAAAACTGCCAAGGTAAATTTTATTTGTTTATCTGATATGTTCACCTGATAAGGTGTGGAGGTGTTCATTCAACATATCCTCACAGATTTTATATGCTTATCAACTTCTAAGAATTGTTTTTGTTGTATTTCATCTTCTCATCTGCATCCAGCAATTGTTCAAAATTTTACTTATTATACAAAATTCATTTTTTGCAAATGATTGAGATCAATTTTCTACTGTTGATGCAAATGTCTGATGTCTTCATTCAATTCAAATGAAACATGGACCATCACTTTTTTTTTTTTTTTTTTTTTTTGTTACATCCTATAAAACCTGAATGCACAGCACCAGCCATAGTAATAAAATATATAAATGAGTTTGTGCTAAAATTATTCAACATTAATGTGAATAAAAAAAAAAATAGAATATTAAATACATTTATAAAAATGTTTTGATAACTAAATTTTAAAATATTTTAATAAATATTAACTTCAAAAAGAATGGAAAAATTCAAAAGGTTAACTGATCAAAATATTTTAACTGTCAGGCTTAATTTATATTGATACTTTCATTCCATTAAAATTGAAATTAATTAAACTTATTTTATTTATAAACCAATAAATTGTGACATTGCTGTGTCAGTTTAATCACTTTCACATTTTTTTTTTTATTTTAGGCCAATGAGAAAATCTTACACATTATTGACATTTGGAAAAGTGGCTATGGTGTAGTCTCTCTGCATTGCTTTCAGAATGTGATTCCAGTTGAAGCTTATTCTAGAGAAGCTTGCATGGTGGATGCCATTGGTAAATATTATTTACTATTTGAAATCCTTAAAACCTTTTTGCTTTTTAGCATATTAGTATTTCTATTTTTTTTTTAAAAAAATACCTTGATTAAACAATAATTCTCAGTAATTGTTTTCTTTTCATTTCATTTCATTGTCATACTTAATTTGCTGCCAAACTTTTTTTCTGGCTGTTTTGAATCATATCAGTTGTAAAAGAATGTATCAATTGACCCTCCAAAAATATGTAAATTTAATTTGCAATATTTAAAAGTGATATTACAATTTAACAAAAATTAAATTGTAATCTCACTTTTAAATAGTTTTAAAAACCTTTCAGTAAATTATTTTAATAAATGCTCTCTATGTTCAAAGATTAAACATTTTCACTATTTCATTGTATAAACAAAAATGTATGGTATTCAAAACTATGGAAGAGGGACATAAATTGAATAATGACTATTAAAAATAAAATTTAGCATAAATGCTGTTATTTTACTTCATGTTCTGGTGTGTGAATTGTTCCTGGTGTAAATGTATTACTTTTGTTTTGTTGTTTAGAGCTTTTCATGTCATTTAAATTTTCTGTAATTGAATATAAAATATTTTTCTTATTAATTAATTTTACTTAGGATTATAGAAAAATATTTAATTATTTATATTTTAGAGACTGATATGCATTTTAACCATTTTTAAAACTATTTTAAATAACTGGGTAGAATAACTTTTTTTAAACAAAATAATGATTTTTGTATGAAAGTTAATTATCATTGTATAAAATTTTCACCATTTTACAAATAAAACTATCAAAAGCTTTTCATAACAAAAACTATTCTCAGTCATTTCAAAGATGACTAACTAAAAATTAATTTGAATTTGTCCATATAACATGGAAAGAAAATTGGCAGTTTCTACAGTTATTGGCTTAAATCATAAAATCTAATAGATGTTCAGTTTGTAGAAAGTTTTTCTCATTTCTAAGATATATACAGAACTGTTTTGTGATGTAGATTTGTTATTTGCTTTTTATTTTATCTGCTGTTACAAAATATAGCTGATTTTAATTTGAACAGATGGCATAAATGCTTTGTTTTATGATCATTAGTCTAAATCTGAAATTTTATTTTGTGTGATTTATGAGGCTTTTCATTTTATGATTACAGGTTGCTGCAATCTAACTAACCAAAAACGAGGTGACTTTTATGGCCTCACTGCTACTTGGGGTCTAAAATTGAAAAGGCGTCTGGGTGTCTATTTATTACACAAGGCGCTAAAAATATTCTTGGCTGAAGGAGAACGGCAGATTTACCCAACAGATTTACACTAAATGCACACAGCAATCAAAATTTACATCCTGTCATTTCCTCATCAGTGCAATCTCAGAAATAATTTCTCTCAACTAAATTCAATCTTAAAAAACAAGTAATTTTTTCTTTTTTTTAATTATTTATTAAACAAATTTACTCAATTTTTATTTGAAATTTTTACTTTTGTACTTGACTATTACCTCTTGAACATGTTTTTTTAGATTGTAAAGTTATTGTAAGTTATTTATGTTGCAAATAGGAAATTAAAATTTTTCTCTTTTCCTAAAAACAAATTAAACATTCTCAGTTTGCTTGTTTTGCATTTTGCTTTTAAGTTTTTGCCAATTATAACAAGCTTTCTCCTTATTCACCTTCAGTAACTAAAGTTTACTGAATAGGTTTGTTTTAAAATGTAAAGCATTTTTTTTGTTTACAAATAAATTTTTCATCTGCCAAATAATCAGATAAATGAGATATTAAACTAATTTTCAATCCTTGTTCATTCAACTTTCATAATTGGTGTAGGATTTTATGAAAAATGAATTAATCCCTGTAACTCTTCATATTTTAATGAACATTATAATTATTTAAAAAAAAAAAGAGTGCCTTATCTGCTTTCATGCCTATTTCACTTTTTATTGCTGTGAAATAATTGCTACATAACTTTTGCAATATCAATTGCATCATTAAATCCATCATGTTTTTAATGTTCAATGTTATGCCTTATGAAATCAGTACAATACATCTCAAACTTGAATTATTATTTTATATTAAGTAAATGAGTTAATCTTTTTATTATCAGCACAAATTGATGTCACTAAATTTAGGAATCTTCATACTAAAAAAAAATTACATTTCTCCCCAAAACCCAACGTTTGTTTTGAAAGATTTTTAGCCATTAGATTTTTTTTTCTTTGGCATCTCTTAGCTAGTATGTATTTTATTGACTTTTACAAAATTATATCCACTTCATTATGCGATTTTATGTGAAAATAATTACTTCTCACACATGCTTTTCACGTCCAAAGATTTCATTTCCTTTTCAGGAGTCATTCCATATCAAATCAACAAGGGTCTGACTATCACCAACATGGATTTCTTTTTCATATTTGATACACATATAAAACTTCATAATACAAATTGAATGGTGCCTATTTTACATCTCTAGGTCAAATGGTTCCTGTGATATTGTCCTGTATAAAAAAGGTGAATTTTGGAAAATAGTCACAAGGTTTAAATATCAATATTTCAGTTGCTATTTCACCTACAAAGCCAAATTATATACCATTCACAAAATAACTTGACCTTAATCTTTGACTTTAAATTTCTCAAAAAGTGTATCTCAAATTATTTTTTTTAAATTTATTTGCCTTATGGCAAGATATGTACATTTCTTGGACTTTTAACTATAACCTTGACTAAAAGTGTTTTACTGAGTTGGTCCAAATTCAAAATGGCAGATTTTGGCATTTGCTACTAATATGCTAACATTTTTATATCTCCTAATAAAGTCAAGTTATATATTTGTAGAAAGCTATTTGAATGCTGATTAATACTCACATGAGAACCATGGTCATAAATCGACAGAATTTGTGTTATTTGTAGTCAAATTTGACCAATTCAGTGGAAAATAAAACAACCTGATTTTGTTTACATTTTTATTATACAACAAATAGATTTTTATATGAAAAAGTGACATAATGAAAATAATTATTTAAAAAAAGTGTCATGAATTAATGTTAAGATAACATAAAAATATGCAACAAATGATATCAATATGGTGTGGGTAATTCTTTACTAAAATAAACACTTTATTACAAAAAAAGTTTATTTCTTATTTTTTGCTATCCTCCACCAGCTGCAATGATGGCAAAAGCATTACCTTGCACCATTGCCAGTGAGACACACTGCAAGAGCCATTCTGTTTTATGAGGTTCATCTCTTAATTGAGACACAAACCCATCAGCCCTCTGAAGGAACACCAATGATACCAGAAATCTCCACTGCTATTGGACTAAAAATAAATCTGTCCACAAGAGAAGAATATTTAACTATTTTTTTGATCTCTACATCCCAAGCAACAGACCCTGCTCAACTGTGGACTGACCAAGTTACTAGTCAAAAATGTATTAGCACAGGTTGCATACCCAATCAACAACTTTCCCCACTTTAAAAGGGAAAATAGTAATCCTGTCTGACCACTTTTCACCACGGTCGAGACATGTGGATTCAATTTAGGAAGGTAACCCAGCTGCATCCACACCTCTTCTGATGTTGTTTATTGCTGCATGACTTGGAAAGTGGCCAGCACTATGACAACAGGAGAGGATGCAAACCTAACTCATCAATGAAAGCTCCACATCTGCATCTGTGACACTCACATAATTTGAATCCAAGACAGATTGTGACTCTGACTTGAATGTACTCATCATCCAGATGGCACTGCGTTGAACCAGTCGCCACTACTCGGTTGTGAAGCAGATAGTAGACAGGTGAGGTGGTGCTAATCCAGAGAGAGCTCCAATTTAGTAAAATTGGCCTTGCATTTTATTTTATCCCAGCTTTTCTGTTTTGATGTGTCTTGTGGGATAGAAAGTAATTTGGGGGCTCAGATGCTGCATGCTTGTTTGAAAGAGCTACTTGAAAAACATGGAGACAATCCAAATATCTCATCATTCAATTCACAACTGGAAGAAAATGAAGAAAGATATGTTGGAAGGGCCAAATCTTCCATTGATTGAAAGCCCAGGCCTTTGAAAGGGAGACTCACCTGCCTCCAGCCTGTGTTAGTGAAATTAATGTTGCAAATTAACTATGCACATCTCTTAATTGTGGTATCTATCTCATTTAAGAAATCCTGTTTGAGGTAACGGGGTGACTTCGGAGAGTGTAGAGGTAGATAAAAACTGTTCTTCAAGTGGAGGAGGGCTGGGTGTGCATCAATTAATTGCAACTTCTCAGTCATTCTTGTTAGAATGACATGCTTAGTATCCAAACACTCTCAAATGGCCATTGGTAAGATTGGAGAACCAAGAATGTGTAATTCCTTCTTAGGAGTTATTTTCATATCCTCAAGTATGAATTTAATATCCCGAATAACACCTTTGAAATCACCTGTACTATAATTCAAATTTATTATCTCTGACTTGGATGAGTTAATCTAAGCAGAGATAGAGCAGGAATAGTTCATTGCAAATAGTAGCAGACCAAGTAGATCACCTTGCTGGATTCTGGTAGCCGAAGAGAGAATATTATTGGAGGCGATCAACATAGTTGGGTGACTATACGAGAGATGAGCCAGTTGAAATATGGAAGGAGTTCATTGATGGCAAACTTCTAGGGTATGATCCCTTCTGATGCTCTTGAAGGCATTTTTCATATCCAGTTTTAATAAAGATACATGTGAAAACGGGTGATGTGTTCTCAAAAAATGATCTTGTGGTATGAACAGCAGCTTCACATCCACTCTGTATACCTACTCCAAGCTGGACAGGTTGCAATTCATACCCTATCTCCTTCACAACAACTCTACATGTGATTTTTGCCACAAGTCAATGAAAAATGTTACCAATAGTGATAGGGTGGATACCTCCATCTTTTTTTAAGCCTTTAAGTTGGCTGAAAATATTAAGTCACGAACATGTTGGGGTATCTCAGCTCAGAGAAAGTTATTAATAAGAGCTGTTATGGATCTTTTCAAATGTTCACCAGCTTTGGCAGTGCAAGAAGAAATTAAGTCCTTACTGAGACATGATTCTCTATCAACTTAGCATTGATGATGGCACAGAGTCTCTTAGAATCATCGACTAAAGTTGAAGGATGAAATCTATTAGGAAGATTAGAAAATTTGGTAGCATTTATTTTAGATGAATAAAGAAATGTTATTTTTTATAATAGATGTTGTAGGGTCCTTATTGAAAGGAATGCCAAGCACAAGTGTTGCAAAATAGAAAAGACGATCTCAGTCAAACAACCTGTTCATGTCAAGCGCATGGTCTATGGCAGTAGTATGGGATTCTGATAGATTTAGGTATTTTTTAAGGTACCTTCTGAAGAGTGAGGTTTCTCTCAAAACCTTGCTGGTATCTATTATGTTGATGGTTAACACTATCTTGTGGAGCTGAGAGAGACAGGTAATGCAAACAACTCCAAACAACCAGATGTGCTGAAGCACTTTTAGTCAATCCCATGCATGATAAATGAAAAAACTGCTGATAATTCAAACAACTTCTGACTCTGTTACACTTGTTAATACTGTCATGTAAAAAAACCCTTTTTCTGTTAATTTTTGTAATCTCTGCTTGACATTAATTTCATTTTTTTTTTCCTTTCTTGTATAATTCTTTTTTATATTTCCACATGTCATTTCATTTTAACGACAAAATTTAATATTTGTAAAGACTTCTGTATTTTTATTGTAAGAAATTTTATTTCAAGAAATTCTTTTTCCTTTTGAAGCCTTTTTCATCTCAATTTTCAAATGTTTATAAGTTCTATTGTAAATTAATAGATTGACTAAACTAAGAATATCAGAATATTTAAAAAATATCAGAAAGATTGGGAAAAGCAGTTGGTTTTGTAAAAATGTCAATTTTACCTCATCATTATCAGGATATTTTTCAAGCACACATTCTAACCATCAAATTCCTATCAGAGATTGCTGTATTAGTATTTTCAAACTCTATATTGTCCTGTTTTATAATTTTAACTATTTTTTTTCATCCTGAGTTGACACTGTTTTGTATTTCTGAGACACAGCAATAAAACTATGTAGTTGAGGCATTTTTGAATCTCTTCTAAGATTTCTGCTTCATTTGTCCTTTTGTTTGTTGATGAATGTAAAATATTTATGCTTGAAATGTTTTCCTGCATAATTAAATAACTTTCTTGGTCTCATTATAGGGCTGGTACAGGCTTGTTTTTGCTGCTAATCTCTTGATAGTGCCACATAACCATCACATGGTCTTTTCCCATGAGATGTAGCAAAAAAGTGCCACTCCATGTCAATACGAAAGTCAGC